ACTGTTATGGGTCTGACACTTCAAATTGGCATATATCTCCGCATGGACCCAACAAACCTTCATGCCAAATTTGGTGAAGATCCATCAACAGGGGGCCAAGTAGTGGTAAAAAATGCAGAGTAAATTTGGAATTATAATAAACATTAATCCTCGAATAGAGCAGTAGATCGACCCTGCACACATAGGGTTGATTGATTACATTCTATTAATCAATAATACAGTGTTCCTCAAAACCTGAAGCAAACAAACAATCTATCACAAAGCTCCAGACACTTGATTATCACGTTGTTAGACAGTTATGACAACAATGTCTTCTCAGTAACAGGTATATAGTTCACATTGTGAATGGTAGTTATCACCTGCATGTAAAGACGGTTATTACCAATTATGCCTGCACCCAATTCCTTATGCCGTTCCACTTTTGGATGTGGCTACATTGGTAATAAACAAGTTTACAGATCAAAACATCCTCTTCCCATCAACACTTTCTGTACATTGGAGTTATTTTGTTTTTGTGGATACTATATTGTATTTTTTAACTTAAATGACAGCATTTTTTGACAGTCTCAATCATATTTGCCCACAGAATGGTGGGGATCCTAAGTTACAAGAACTTATAGAGGCTACATAATTATATGTAATGTAGAGCCTGTTGACTCACATTCCAGTTGTAACCTAATCTGTTTGTCAACTGTTCCTGCTTTGAATGCTGTTGGTATTAGTAGTTTTATGGAATATTTCTGTGCAGTGTTTCGTCTCCCTGAAGGAGAATACCTGTCTTCCTTGACATTTGAAAAATCTTCAAGAATTCTGTGCTTGGCGTCTACTACAAGTGATGACGGAGACCTTCGTATTGTTACTGGAGGGTCCAGGCTGCTGGTGTGGGATTTTTTACCTCATAATACAAGGCAAAGGCAGAGAAGGTAAACAAAATTTATATTCTGTGAAGAGCTCTCTTGTTTTCAAACCCTCCACCTGCTTTAGTTTCAGTTTTAGTAGGTAATTGAAAGCTATATTTTGTCAACAGGTAAAATGTGGATGAAGCATTATTTGCATACATTACATTTTACAGAAAACCCATATATAGTCAGTAGTGAAACATGTGATTGGTTAAAATTATCATCAGTTTGAATGAGATTTAATGTCCCACCTTTTGACCAGTTATTACCATTAATTCGTTTCAAGTGTAACTTTTATTTTTACTAACTGCATATATATATATATATATATTTCTTTTGCAGTTCCATCACAGAAACAATTAAGAGCAATTATTTTGAAAAATTATCTGAAGAAGTGGAGATTAGCCAAACGGAAGATGAAGACACAGAATCGGAGCTCACAGATGATGACTTGGATGGGGAAAATAGTAGTCAATCCAAAACATCATCAATGTCTGGAAACAGCTGGTTGTCGTCTTGGTGTAGTATATTATAACTGGGAACGTGTTTCTGTTGCTTAGCAAGTGCCTTATTCACTAGTAAGATTGTCCCTCCATTCTCTGTAGCATATAGTTAGATAAAATTATATTTTATTGTCATCTGAAACAAAAAAAAGTAGTTACTCAGTTTTGTGAACGAAAATAATAAGTTGGACATTTATGTTGATATACAATGTGTAAGAAAACTTGTATTTTGATATAATTATCTTTTCATGCCACACTTTCAAAATCTAATCTCCAGTATATAATGATTATGACCTGCCATTTAAATAAGAAAAAAGAAAAGCTAAAGAATTTGAGAAACAAAAGGAAATGTGTTAAATGTTTTAGAGTTATTACGTTTAAGTTATAATTTAAGCTGTTTTACTTTTAATCGAAGACTACCAAGTTTCTTGTCTGTTGATTTGTAAACTGCTTTTCAGTGTTGGTTGTGCTTTAATTGTAAAAGTTCATCATGTCTGACAGTAGTATTGTGTGTAAAAATATGATAATTTTAATCTGTGGATAAATATCTATGTTGGTGAGTAAAACAAATAAACTGAGAAATAATAACACAGGGTGTTTCAGGTTTTTAGCCAATTCATTGTCAGTTTTTGACCAGGCTTCATCTGTAGCTGTATTGGAACCAAAAACTCCATACAAAGTTCTTACATACACAAACACAACCTTCCTACACAATTATATAACCATCCTCATGTTGTCAGTTAGACTCTAAAATAGATTAATACAATACTACCGCAAAAATCTTAACAAAAATACTCAATTAAGAACCCAGAAAAACTATCATACGTGATGAAAATAGACCCCTAGTAAGCTCTTTATATAACCTATGGCTACCTACTACTGGGCAAACCGTGATGATTTTATTTTAAAAGGGTTTTTTTATATGTAAAAATAAAATTAGTGCCGTGTGTTTTTACCATCGGTATTTATGAGATTGTTTGTGTGAAGAAAATTTTACGTTGATAACAAACGAAAAAAGTAAAATATTTACCAGAAAACAAGAAAAACCTACGTACTACATTCATGGACATGGCCTTTAATTTGTGTGGCTACATGACGTAATAATAGATTCACTTAGCGACTGGGACGAATTATACCGGAGAACTAATGTGGTGTGTGTCCATGACAATCAACAGCTAAACCAAGAGCCAAGGTGGGAGGTAGATGTTCGTAGTGTACCTGACCCTCCCAGGTCACTTGACCAAAAGAACGACCAGAGATCACAGAAGGCTCTGTTAAAAGCACTAACAAATAGGTGTTTATTTGTTTCCCACTAGTAAAATTCGTGACCGCTACTAACCTCATTATTTTTCTCTAAAATTACGTGCATTAAACATATATATATATATATACATATCGTATTTATACGTATAAATCGTCTGTGTCATGTTTTCATGTAAAATAATTGTCGATGTCAAAGTCATTTTAATTACACGTAATAGTGTTTTTTATTTCAAAAGATACTCGATTTGGGTGGAAACAGGTGTATCTAGGGCACGAGCACCTATATCGACAAAGTCTACCACAACTAATGGGCCTAACACATGTGATAATCATGCAAAAAATAAAAGGAACGAAGGAAAAAAATTACAGTGATTTCTATTTTATTATTACCTCTAAACACACTAGTTGGCCTCTAGTATAGCCTTGCCGATAATGGTTAGAAGTACTACCTGTGTCCAAGTGGTTGTTCATTGACCTGTTGGTCAAATGTTGTCGGCTCTTTCCAAGTTGATGCATGAGTACACACGTGAATTCTTTAAAGTAATGAATACCCCCCTCTCCCACCCTATTTTCACCAATTTTATGCTCAAAATCGGCTTCTTTTTTTTTACAAATATGTAGATTTTCCCCTTCAAAAAAGACCCCGTCCCTTTTATTTATGCAACTTTAAGTTACACCTCTTGACTACAGGTTTATATTTTACAGATACCCTCCACGTATTTATATTACAAGTCCCCTCCTAATAACTGCATAAAATAGCTTTAGTTGGAGAACAAACGAAGAATGATTGTTTGAAGAATTTTGATGTATTAAACGTGCGTTGCTCAGAGTGTGGTTCAAGAGAAAAGTTAAAAAAAAAATTATATAAAGCTGGTACAGTCCCGAATAACCCTGTTGTCAGTGAAGTACAAATTACACAATGTCTAGCAGGGTGGGCTAGATAAGGGTTAGTGTATGACTTGTCATAATCTATGGTTTTGGTACCTCTAGTTACACATTTTACACTCGCCAAACGTAACAGTAACAGTCCAAGCTCGGAGTTGACGTAACTGCAAACGTTTTCCTCCTGCAATGTTATGCGTGAGGTTATCAGAAATAGCACTAATATGACAAAGAAATACCGATCATTTTATGACGTAGCACCATTGTGAATGCAAGAAGAAATACGCGAACGTTTGGTAAAAACTGCACAATGCAGTGTATAAATAAAGGAAGCATGAAATATAGCGCCCTCGTTGTTTGTCTGCCTCAACTACATTACTCACGATCACTTGAGTGGCTCATAAGTAATACGGATCATATATTAGTTGTACGAGGAACAGGCATGCCATAGCTCTGTAGTAATAAAAAATATACAGTAAAAAATATGAGTCGGTGAAAAAAAAACTCAGTCGAAACAAACTGTCAGAAGACTTGGAATTAGAAAAGTGTCTCCTGGTGGTGTGTCGAAACTAGTCTGATTTTAAGCCTTTAATAGTTTGTTCCATTGACTTTGACTTTTTCACTAACTTTTTAACTGTGAGTGGAAAACTAATATTATTGTAAGAAATATTTGTGTTAAACTAAACACTTAAGATCACAACACATCTGCCATAGGCCCGGCATG